CCTTCTTACAATTAGACAGTTAGGTATAAGAAAGACAGAGATTACGTTTCTTGTAGAAAGTTACAGAAGGTGAGAATACGAAAATTTATAGACATTGTTTCTGTTAGCTGCTATGATGAGCTATCATTTAAATTGTGCCCCAGATCAGTTTGCAGCTACTACCAAAATTTTGAAGGAATCCTTATACATTGATAATTGCTTGACTAGTTTTAAGATTGTTGAAGAATGAAACATCTGTACCAAACAATCAAGGATGTTATCATCAGCAGCAAAGTTTAATCTTACAAGGATGACAGTCGAAATATAAAACCGAAATAATTTCAAATTCTAAATTAGATACGTTCATTTGCATTTTACTGTTAAGCTGGGATTTGAAGGATCACACTCATTCCTGAAAAACTGAGTCATAAAAGAAAGAGGAGATTATCGCAAGTAAACAAACACTTTTTTCTTGTGCACATAAGTTATGTGACCCAATAGCCTTCATTTCTCCCATTGCCCTATTCCCAAAGTTTCCAGCACTCCTGCAATAGCAAGAGCGCTAGAAATTACAACTAAATTGGGATCAAAAATTGCCTGATCATTTAGAAAAGACAGCCATGAAATGGATAAAAGAGCTGGAGCTGCTGTCTGATGTTAAAATTCCTAAATGGTTTAATATTTATGGATTAGTTGACGACGAAGTTAGTCTCCATATCTTCAGCAATGCGAGCAAGCATATGCCTATACCACCTGTGTTTTTTTAAAGGTGAAGACCTAAAATGAGGCTTATCTAAAATTCGGCAAGCATACACTACAGTTGCACCTTTAAAGAATGTAATCAATCCCTCATTTGGAAGTGTTGTCCTGCTTAATCGGAGCATGTTTGGGAAGTGTGGTCATTTCAGATTTGAACACGCCAAATTTAAGAACATTCTACTGGACTAGCTCGACCCAACAAGATGTACGAAAGAGAACTTTTGTTTGGAATTGTGTCCAAGAAATCAGAACACTTTTAAAAATACAAAATTGGTGACATATCTCTTCGGAGATGAATGCAACCAATTTCCTTTCAAGACACTGTTTAGTTAAACAGTTTCTGCATTCGCAATAGTGAAAGTGCCAAGGATGGCTGTTAAAACCAGAATCTTCATGGCCAAAAAGCACCAACTTGCAAAACGAACAAGTCGTAAATTCAGAAAAGCATAAATTAGTACTGGCAATTCTTAATAAAAACTCTAAACCTGACAATTGGCATTAGAGGTACTTTTCATTTGTAAAGAAAGTACAAATGTTAGCTTGGATTCTTAGATTTTATTTAAAATTAATAAAAATTACAAATGAAACCTCCAAAATTCTCTCAGTTTCAGAAACTGAAACAGCTGAAATAGCTCTTGTGTTATTGATTCAAAACAAATCATTTAAGGGTGTGAACAACGACAAAATTAAAGACCTTAGACCTATAGTTGACTGTGATGGATTGCAAGACCAACATTGCTCATCACGGTTATACTGATGACTTGAGAGTTTCCTGTTATTTTGCCATCTGATCATGTAGTAGTCAAATTTCTGTTTGAATGTACATAATGAGCTGCTCCATGCCTGTACTTTTGTGAAGATGTCTCATTTACAAGTAAAGCATTGGATCCTCAAAGCTCGCAATGCAACATGAAACTGTATTAGAAAGTGTGTGAAATGTCAAAGATTTACGTAAGTTGTAATACAGCTTAGCAATTTTGCCAAAACATAGAGTAAGTAATGAAAATATTTTTGAAATCATGGGCAGTGATCTTGCAAGACCTCTCTACCTTAGAGATAGTTGAAAAGCTTATATTGTTATTTACACCTACGCAGTCTATAGGGCCATTCATCTGAAGTTAATAACATCCTTGTCAAATGAGCTCCTTTTCCAGTCAATGAGCTGTTTTATTTCTCATAGTGGATGAACATTTACAAAATACTCGGACAATGGCAGTAATTTTAAAGGGGTGGAGAGCTTTCTACATACAACTTGATTGACATAGTCTGTGTTCAAAGATGCAGAACAAAGAATTCACTCAAACCTTAATCCTCTCTCTGCACTCTGGTGGAAGCATTTAGTTCAAATGGTGAAAAAGATTCTAAGAAAAGTCCTAGGTCATACTGCTTACGTACTGTGCAACTTTAAAAGAGTAATTAATACTAGGCCTCTTACCTACATTTTCGAAGACGTATCCCCATTAACTCCAGAGATGTTTTTGTGGGAGATTTCAAGATCAGGAATACTTAATATCAATATGGTGAAAAAAGAAAAACTGAGCAAATGGGCTAAGTATCTACAAAAAATGAAAAAATTCAGAGTAAGATTCTGTGTACAGTATCTAGGACAATTACATCCAAAATCCATTAAGAACTGTACGGCTAAACCTCTCCAGGTGGGTAAAATTGCTCTACTGAAACACAGCAACAAGAAATGTGCATTTTGGAACCTACTGTATGTGGTAAAACTGATACCTGGTCACGATGGATAAATAAGGCGTGGTTTCATAAAAACACAGACTTCTGAATTTCTGAGACCAGTACAAAGATTGTACAGAATAATCCAGTCTAAAAGGATACAATGGAAGCTATGAAGTAATATGTTTATGATATGATGTATACTTGTTTGAATGCTTTGTAATGATTTGATTTTTGTTTGTTTGCTTGTTTTTTTTTTTTTTTTGTTTGTTTTTTGTTTTTATAGATTTAGTATTATCTTTTGGCATGTCTTTAATAGAAGTATGAAATGCAACCTTTTCAGATAATTTGTATTTGAATTTTGTCATGGCATTTTGGTAAGCATAATTTTACATTTCAACACTGTAATCTCTTGTATCTGCTTGAAATATACTATTATGCATGTATTGTGTATAAGAGATATGAAGTTTAGATATAAGTTAACAGATATAAGTTTTAGTGAAACTTGTGCAATCATCTGAATTTTGAACAAAAACAAAGTGCTTTAAAAAAATGGACGATGTATTCCAAAAAATAGTAAAATATCATCTTTGAATATATTTCTTGATAAAAATGAACTATTGAGAGTGGAAGGGACATTGAAGCATTCTGCTATTTCTGAATTTCAGAAACATCAAATGCTCTTACTAAAAGCTCACCATTTCACTTATTTAATTATTGAATATTATCACAGAAAATCCTGGCATTCTGGTCTACACACAACATTACCTTCAATAAGACTGTCTTATTGGATACTGTCTGTCAAGACCAAGATAGAAAGTACTAAATATGTGCATCATTTGCTTTTGAACAAAGAATCAAACAATAAATCATATAATTGGTGATCTACCTATACATGGAGTTGTGCCTTTCAGATGTTTCCAAAGGACTGGGTTACATTTTGCAGGATCCATAATCATGAAATCTAATTTGAAAACGTCAAAAGTGACTTTAAAATCTTATATTGCATTATATATCTGTTTTTGCATGAAGGCCACGCACTTAGAAGTTGCTTCTGATTTAACAGCAGGAGCCTTTCTAGCATGTTTACTACAATTTATTGCAAGATCTAAACCATTCATCATCTGCAACGACAATACCACGAATTTCAAAGGTGCAAGAAACATTCTCCATACATGGGATGAAATTTTCTTTTAATCTAACCCAATTTAAGGGTTTAATGCAGAAGAAGGCATCCTGTGAAACTTTATCCTACCAGCTTTTCCACATTTTGGCAGACTGTGGAAAGCAAACATAAAATCAGTGAAACAGATTTTGATAAAGGGAATAATATCAACTATCATGAATTTTGAAGAGTTAACTGCTTTAGTTTACTCAAATAGAAGCTGTTTTCAATTCCTTCCCATTATCACCACTTTCTTACGATCTGAATGGCTTACATCCTTTAACTCCAAGACATATTTTTGGCAGGAAATGCTACCTTATTCGTTCCTGAGCCATATACTGCTTCGGATTCTCTTTCTTTTCATCCCAAGTGGGAACTGATTCAGACACACTAAGCTAATTTTTGGAACCAATGGAATTCAGAGTATCTGAATCAACTCAGCAGGAAATGTTTGTAGAAAAATGAAATTGGCTTGAAGGAAATTAAGCCCAGAAAGTATTCCAGGATAGATTTTGAGGGGTTTGACACTTCTTACATGACAATGTTATATATGATACTGTGCCTCTAGGCAAACTCATGGGCTTTGTTAACAATGAAAATGTGAAGGAATTAACAAGAAGACCATAAAAATCAGCTTAACAAAATTAAATGCAACAATTTCAAAAGCTGCTACAAAAGATGATTGTGGATGCCTTCAGGAATGTCTTTCAGCAACAGGAAAGAGGAAAAGATGACCCAAAATCTTTATCTGTAAAGTTTCTGCAAAAGAGGGTAAAATGCAAAGTTTTCATATAAAGATTTAACCCTGATAAAGCAGCAGCATGCTACAGTATAAGCATTTCCAATGGCAATGTCATGTCTCACATTAGAAACGTTTCAGTATGCAAACAACAACAAAAAACCACATGGGGCATATTTTAAGTGAAAAAGAAACACGAGTCTGAAGAAGAGTGGCATTCAGAGATAGAGATAAAAGATGCCCCAGAAACAGCTATGCTTTTATGAAAGGTAACTTTTCATTCATTATAACATTATCATTCCCATTTCTCTTCATTATTTTCTCATCAATTAAATTAAGTTTTGGGCTATTTCAATTGTTTAATATTGTGTTTATCGTATTCGCCTTAATTATTTCCACTGGCTGTATGTTACAAACTTGAATTCAAAGCACATGTATAAAATTTAAATAAACAATCACATGTGGTCCAAAAACAGACGAATCCATTTTACATCAATTCCTTGAAGGAAAAAGGTTTGTTTACAGATATTTGGGATCAGAAATGGACATCATAAAAAATTACATTCATTACCGAGGTATCACTGCACACCTTATTTTGCAAAATTTGATAACAAATTAATTAAATATTTAGAAACACATACATAACACAATATGCTTTAAATAAAGAGAAAACATACATACCATTTCCGTATTCAGTTTCACTTTCTGAATCTGCCCGTTCACTTGGCATTATAGACTGAGATTTGACAGTTGGAGAAGATGAGTTTAGTTCAATTGATATTTGTTTTACAGAATCTGTGCCCTCATCTGCTGCATTCAAATCTACATTCGCAGCTGTTTCCATACCTAAAATTTTAATTAAAATATATTTCTTTTAATGTTTCATTTACTTTATTCTCTATGAGCTTTTTAAAACAATATATACATACTGCATCAATACACAAAATATTTAGTATTCAGGAAATGCAATCAAAAATTACAGTTACAATCAAAAACTGCCTTTAAAAATTACAAAACAAAACTATTTTTGTTGTATACTTAGGCTTACCAGATGTTCTGTTTTCACTGGGTTTGAAGATGTTCCTGCATCCTTGCGCTAGTTTGTCATCTGTCTGAATTATTTCGTAAAGCTTCAAAAATGCCAAATATACACGAAACAAAAACAGTGCAGATTTTGGTAAAAAAACAATTTCACATTTAAAAAATCCCCTTTGATTCTCTCATTGTTGCCAGTCTAAATATTTTCTAACCAGGTTCAAGTACTTTTAAGGTTGTCTGGACATTTCCTCGAAAATTATAGCATGCAACTCAATGAATTTAGATGTTATATTTTTTCATCCAGATATATTTTCACAGAATTTATAATAGCATTGTAGCCAATGAGATCCAGACACTTTTATTTCATTTTTTACCTATTTTGTTTTGATTAGAGTTGGCAACACTGGAACTTACACTGGCCATGTCACTGTTATTGATCGTCCTATCTTGGATGAGTTCATATTGCAAGTCGGCATTAGCAATAATTTTATACTTTACATTAAAAAATCTATGATAGTACTGACAAAGTGAAATGTGAACTGAGCTTTTCAGAAGTTTATAGGTGATGTTAACACAAGGCAAGCCTAGTAGTAGTGACAAGAACTTCCTCAAATTTATAAGCATATTTTAAAGGTATCACTTTAGGTGACAAAGAACTCTTAGTAGCAGTTAAAAAAGCCACTTTTTCATTTCATGTTGTTATTCACAATCTTGGCTTTAGGTCAATTAATTGTTTATCCAAATTGAATTGGAAGATTTCTGAAACAAAATTTAAACTTCGCCAGAACAAAATACAAAGTTGTCATTGTTAATGTGATTGAGCTATTAATATTTCAGCAGCTTTAAGAAGATTTATATAAAATCAATTTTGCATTGTTATCAAGAGATCTAACAGGAAAGAAACTAAAATTGTGTCAACTGTTATGCAGTATTTTGTGCCAGACTGTGACATAAATGTTAGGCTTTCAATCAGTTTCTTGGTAAAATGGCAGAAATATAGACAAACCACTTAATGTCAGTTATAAAAATTCATCATACCACAGGAAAAAATTATAAATTTTATGGCAATAATTGCAATACTAATTTTGGGGGTTTGTTAAGGTGATTCTAAGGATGAACACTCTAGGTGACATATTTAGCTGGATTTAAAGGGTGATTTTTAAATTCAGCTTACGCACGTTTCAAGTTTGGCTGAATTTATTGCAGCAAAATCTCACCTCTTGACTTATGCATAAATTGACTCACATTTGAAAATAGAAGTATGCTCTGCTAAAAGATATTGTGGAAAATTCCGTTTCTATTGAAAATGTTCAACAGTGGTGCAAAATTGATATGCAAAATACTACATTATGCAAATATTTTCATTAGTATATATGTTTTACCTTTGTATTTTATAAAATAAATCATAATTTAACCAATATTAATTTTCAAAATATCATTGTTCATTATTCTTCAATTTCAGTATTCTGACAACTTCAGAATTATTCTTTTATATCATTATTCTTCAATTTCAGTATTCTGACAAGCCTTTTCTATGATCTAAATTTATATCGAAAAAAAAAAAAAAAACTCTTTTACAAACAATTTTTGTATATTTTAACTCTAAAATACATGTAGATTTGAAATATGTAATAAAAATATGCAATTTTTGAACCTATTTTGATAAAAAAAAAAGTACATAGTGAGAGAGTTAATGATGAGTGGCATCATCCAAACAGTTATGAAATACCAGCAACCAAGCTGCATGTTCACCCAGCATAAAAGGGAAGGTTAAACATATGTCTGTACCATCATAAGATCCCCAGCAACAACACTATGACTATATACAAATATGGCTCCCGTATGGACAAAGTTGGTAGCGCAGTAATTCTTCAGCATGGAGAAGAAAGCTTACATCTACATAAGCACTCCTAAATGATAATAACACTGTGTTTCAGGCACAGGCAGCAGCTATTTCCAGAGCTATCTAGTGCATCACTTAGCAAAACCTGCAGGACATCACCATCCACACAGACAGCATATTGATACTTCTATCCATACTCCCTATAGCTATGTAAAACATATCCCTATAACTACAAAACACATCCCTATAGCTACACAAATCCAGAGAGACTTATCAACATCATAACAACACACTTTCCTGGGTGAAAGATCGTGCTGAGGTGAAGGGAAATGAAATTGCTGACAGATTAGCCAAGGAGGCAACAACAGGAAACATTCTTTATCCACAACCAGTACTCTGGACAAGCTCATACTCGAAGAAACAACTAAAACACAAGGCACAAATCAAATGGCAAACTGAATGGGATGAATGTGAAAAAGGCCACTGCACATACTACTACCTCACATAAGCAGATGACAAATGCAACGTCACTTCCTTACTATGGAACATGGTCCCTTTCTGAATATTTACCAAGCTCTGTGACTGTGGAGAAATCGGTACCTCAGACCATTATCTTACCTTCTGCCCAATTACCAGAGAATACCACCTTAAAATCCGCAGCAACAATACACAAGTTTCTGCAAGTTTATGGTAAATCGCCATCTGGTGGCAAGGATTACGCAGATTATCAACAAGCTTGTGAAACTATGAGCCGATCTATGCCTTTGTTATATATACTTTTTTTAATTTTACCATTCCATTTTTGGGGGACAGGGGATTAATTGGAACATTTGCCTAGAGTAAAAATTTAATTTTCACATAGTTTGTTTCTGTTGAGATTATCGATAAATACTATCTATAGGCTAAAACAAAAAGCAATTAATTAAGTATAAATAAACAACTAATAAAGCATATTAAGAAAAGCAACATAACCGTTTATTACTGCATGCTACAGTCAGGATACTAGAGTAAACATAAGAGTTGTCGCTTGTCTGATAAAAGTTGAGTTGTTACAACAATACAACAATACAAGTCACAACTTATTTAAGATTAAATTAACATTCATTAACAAGACTATTAAATGAAAACAGTCTTAAAGAGGTACACAGTTCTTTGAACCTAACACTAGGCAATGGTTTAGTCACGGTGTCTGCTAATTGCAATTTACCAGGAACATGCTTGATGAACAGTTCACCAACAATGAATTTTTCTCGCACAAAGTGATAATGGACATCTATGTGCTTGGACCGTTTATGGTATTCAGGATTCTTGGTGAGTTTCACAGCACTAGGATTATCTACCAGAAGAGAGGGAGTTTTGAGATTTGTTATGTCACTGAGCAGATGTTTCAACCAAATTAGCTCTTTAGCACTCTCACTCGCAGCAACATATTCGGCCTCTGTAGAACACCACACTCTTCTCTTTTGGCACATCCACGAGAGAGCTCCACATGAAAATTTAAAGACCATTCCAGTTCTTGAGCGTCTTATTTTTAAATCACCTGCAAAATCATCATCACTGTACACTACAAGCTCATTGAGATGACACTTTGCTTGGTATAACAAGCCAAAATCTACAGTTCCTCTTAGATATTTAAAGATTCGCTTTACAGCACACCAATCTGAGGTCCTGGGATTTTCAAGACTTTCAGAAACAATGCTTATAGCATAAGCTGAATCAGGTCTTGTACCAGTTGCAAGGTACATCAGACTGCCAACCGCCTACCGATAAGGGACTTCTTTCCTTATAAAGTTTGTTTTCTGTGTCATCAAAAACAAAGCTTTTGTCACTTGAAATTAACACTGGATTGGCAGAGTCCATATGAAATTTTGAGAGAACATTTTTCAAATAGGCACACTGATTCACAAAAATTGGACCATCATTCAATCTTGTTGTACCTAGAAACTGATTCAATGAACCACTTGTGATCTGAAAAGAATGACCAAGTTGACTCATAAACTCCTCCACTTCAACTTTGTCTGTCCCAGCAGCAAGGCCATCATCTATATAGATCACAACAAGGAGTTTCTTGTCAGTTCTGTATCTGCTAAACAAGCAGGGATCAGCTATACTAACTTCCAGTTCCTGGTCTTTCATAAAATTCATAAAACACTGATTCCAGCAACAGGGTGCTTGTCCATATAAACATTTTATGTAATTTACAGACTATCACACTATTATCATATAAGCCTTCTGGTTGTGTCATGAACACTTCCTCCTTAAGGGTTTCATGCAAGAATGCATGCTTTACATCAAACTGCTGCAAGTACAAATTTTCTTTTGCCACCACAGCAAGAACAGCTCTCACAGTGTCACATCTTGCAACAGGGCTGAATGTCTTGCCGTAATCAAGCCTGCTTTTTGGGCATAACCCTTTGCTACAAGACGAGCTTTGTGTCGCTCCACAGTACCATCTGGATTAAATTTCTTCCTCAGCACTCATTGACAGTTGATAACTTTGGAACCTTTGGGTCTCTCAACAAGTTCCCATGTTTCATTTTCATGAAGGGCTTTTGTTTCTTCTTTCATGGCTTCTAGCCAAAGGCTGCTTGATGAAATAACTTCAGAATATGTGGATGGATTATTATTCTTTTCAAATATTTCTACAGCAGCTAGGTCTGCCATTATATATTCTCCGGATTTCATCCATACAGGAGAGCTTTGGTTTCTTCCAGATTTTCTAACAGGCTTCTTCGGATAGATTACGTTCCTCAATCCGAGTTTCTTCATACCTTTCATTTAAGTCTTCTTCCACATCCACTGTCACAGGAGTAGTGCACAAATGTTCTGGTTTGAAGTCAACATCTTGAGATTTTATGATTTTCTTCTGAGAGGACAGATAGATCTTATAACCATCTTTCTTGTTTACATACCCTACAAAATGATCACGAACACTTTTGCCTTCAACTTTACATCTAAAGATTTTTGGTATATGTGCATAGCATTCGATTCCAAATACTTTCAGGTGGTCAAGTTTAGTTTTTGGCTCACCAGTCCAAAGCTCATGAGGACTTTTGCTTTCATCTAGGGATAAACCAGTGTGATTTAGCAGATACACTGCAGTGTCACATGCGCTGGCCCAAAGTGACCACAGATACACTGTGGTATCACATGCATTGGCCCAAAGTGACCGAAGCAATGCACTTGTTGCAAGCATAGAACGAGCCAGTTCAACAATTGTTTGGTTTTTCCCTCTCTGCTGCGCCATTTTGCTCTGGTAAGTATGTTACACTGAGAGTTAGGGCTATACCTTTTTCAGCAAGTATCTTTTGAACTTCACCACAGTCAAATTCTCCTCCTCCATCACAACGGAAACTTTTCATAACATGGCCAAGATTAGTGGCTTCATTGAGAAAAGTACGTAGACAACAACTAACATCACTTTTCTTTTTCAAAAAGAAGATTTTATGATATTTTCTATAGTCATCTTTAAGCAAACATAATATCTTGCACCAATAAAGGAGCCCACAGACATAGGGCCATTAACATCAGCATTAATGATTTCACCAGTTGACACTACTCTATACGGACGTGACTTTTTTCGACGTGACGGGTTTTTCGATGAGCTTTTCCAAGAGCACATCCATCACAAAATTTACTTGTCACTGCATGGCTTACAGATATGCCCATATCAGTTAGCAGTTTTTGAACGTGATGCTTATTTTGAAGTGACCAAGGCCTTCATACCATAGCTGCAAAGATTCAGACTCTGCAGCAATACTTATCTCAGCTGGACTTGCTGGGATAACAACCCTCATAGACATAATGTATGTGCCATCTCTTCAGGATCCAACTGCAACAAGTTCTTCATTACAAAAAAATTCAGCATACCTTTCAGTCATTTTTACTTCAACTCTGTGCTTGGTAGCCTGTTGTACAGAGAAGAGATGCCGTTTCACATCAGGGACATACCAGACCTTTTCCATGTGAGCATTATACCATTTAACTTGAATACAAACTTCAATGTTTATTCTGCCAAATCCATATGCATAGATCTTGTTATTATCAGCAAGTGATACCTCAATGGGCACAGGAAAATGTTTGTACGAAGTAAAGTACTGTTGGTTAGCAGTCATGTGGTATGAAGCACCAGAATCACAGACCTAAACATCAGGGTGTGTACTGTTTGCACTAGCGGCAAATGCACCTTTATTATGCTTTGAGACATTTGACTTTCTCTTAGGGCAGTCCTTACAAACATGTGTATTCGAACCACACTTAAAACAGTTCTTTTGCTTGCAATTACTAGATTTATTACCTACAAGAGTACCTATAAGAGTACTTTCAGGAAGTCTTTCCCCATTTTTCACAGTTTTTTGCTTAAAACCAGGCACATGAGCTGCAAATGCACCATAATCCACCGCAGCATTAGATTTAACATGCTGTTCAATTGTACACAATCCTTCAACAAGATTCTTGGCGTTCATTTATCAGATTCTAGAGACTCCCAAACATTGCTGAATTCTTGGAATTCTGGACCCACAGTAAGCAATATTTTGCCATGCAATAATTCTTCCGGAATATTACTTGATCCAATACAATTTAATTCATTGTTCATATCCATGTATATTCTTTCAACTTTAGCTGCATTGTCATTAGAATCTCTACCGACTTGAAAAAATTGTGTCGTCAAAAAATTAAGTTTGAATACTGCTTTGATAAAAAAAACACTAATTAATTTGTCCCTAATGTCCTTTGCATTCGAGTACATCATCACTAAATCAACTACAGAAGCGCTCAACATACTTGCAATAAGCGTGGCTGCCTTAGAGTTATCACGGCGCCATTCAGCCACCTTCTTCATGTGCTCATTTGCACTAACAACACCGTTTACAGCGACCGGGCAAATTTTAGTTCTATCAATAATTGATGTGAGATCATATTGTTCAAAGTGCATTTTCATTTGCCACGTCCCCTTGCTTCAATTTTCCGCACCTTCTAGTTTGTCAATTTGTACTTTCAAATCCATAGCGTCTCGCTGTTAGGCCTAGCACACAGTTCACTTCGCTTTTCAAAAATTTTAGCAGATATTAAATTCACGCAGATTTAAAACACACCGAGCCTATAACCTGCTGAGTTTATCGATAAACACTATCTACGGGCTAAAACAAAAAGCAATTAATTAAGTACAAACAAACAACTATATATATATATATATATAGGCTCAGTGTGTTTTAAATCTGCATGAATTTAATATCTATGTATCTTAGTTGCTCTTATTATTACTGCATGCTACAGTCGAGATACTAGAGTAAACATAAGAGTTGAGTTGTCGGTTGTCTGATACAGAGTTTTTACTACAATAGTTTCTAGAAGTTTAACTCTATGTATTACTATAGTATTTGGATCTCATACATAATCTGTAAATTTCTGTAAAGTTTGTAGTGTTGTCTTTGCAATATGTATTACTAAAGTGTTATTCTGCTGTAAAGTAATTTGAGTATCTGAAATAATGTAATAATTGCATAAATTATGGAATTATGTCTTAAGCCGCAATGGCATTTGATGCATCTCCTATATGCAGACACGCAAGACAATATTACCTAAGCTCTTGGTAAAATAATGGTGACTCCATCACCCATCATCTGACTTAAACTGCCAAGTTTACTATGATGTACACTTGAAAGATGCAAATACAAATGAAAAGACAGATACCGCATACACCTGGTGGATGTAAACACACATGAGAAGACTGGTGCTATGTAAACTGATGGAAAAAAAATTTGAAGGAGTTGTGCTAGATAAAATGAAATTTGGTAGGTGTATTTACACATCTGAAAGATGACTTCTATTCAAATTTTACACTAGGTGCATAAGCATGCTGCTAGTGCTACTATAAAGTGCCACTATGAACATGAAAATCAGGTTTGCTTTAAATATGCACCAAGAAGTTCGTGCAATATTTTAGCATAAAATATGTTTTGTGGAGCATTGCAGGATCATGGGAGGATGTTTTTCCAGATGCTTTAGAAAATGCTTGACATAATTATATCCAGTATCCTACCATATTTCATGGTGAGGATGATGAAGATGATAGCTGTGAATTTGAAGGTTTTGGGATATCGCAAAATCAAAGATGAAATTTTCCAACTAATGCAATTTGTAAAGAAAAATGGAGGAGCACATTTCTAAAAAAATTCAAGAAAAATGGAGAAGCAGTAATAAATGAAGATTACAACAGAAGTTTTTCAATGAAATGACAGTGCCTCAATCATCAATAAATTAACGGATGGTAAAATCTGTAGTATGGTTCTAGATTCAAAAAATACTGTTACCGATAGTGAAGAAAGTGACAGAGAGGTTATTGAAAATGAAAAAAAATTTAATTTACAAGTTAGTTGGAATTCTAGGTACTGCAATTACAGGACTTGAACAATGGAACTTTTTAATGGAACAAGGAATTATATCTGTCCATAGAATTAAAGAGCACAAAAAACGAAGCAACTTAAATATATTACATTGAAAGAAATGTTTAGTAAACAAGTAAACATTAAGCATTTTTTCATGTAAATTTTGATATCCTTTTAGATCATAAACGAGTCAATATTTTATAAATCACAATTTCATATTTTTAATTTTATATTATCTACATGCCATCAAACTAGATTTAAACTGATGATCTAATATCCGGGATTGTCAAAATCCCAAATCCGGAATCGCCAAAGTCTCAATGAGTCCAAATCTTGGACTTTGTACTGCATATGACAAAAATCTCCTCACAAGAGGTTAAAAATTTCATAGATTAGTGTTATGCATTTCTTTCTTTAAAAAAAATAATAATATTTTAATGAGGCAGTAATAATAATTTCAAAATACTTTTTCCTTCTGTTCTCCATTTTATTTCAAGTAAAATGTTATATGGTAGACAATGAATGGAACAAAATAAAAACAAGCATATTATGAAACATGAAGAACCTCAACAAAATGGAATGAATATGCTGAATAGGTAAAACAATAATAATTATAATCTTCACGATACTGAAGGACCATTTGCTATAAAAAGCTTTAACAACATTTATTCTGTTATTTTTGCTATTTTCAAATATATAATATGATTAGCTATTACTTTTAATGTGGATTCTAATTTTACCATGTTTTAATTGTATAATTCATACCTTGAACATTATCATGATGTACTTCAACTACCGGAATAACAGAATTTGAATCTTCAGTATTTTCATGACTTGCTGAAACTGAAAGCTCTGATACACACACAGAAGCATTTTCTTGAACCGGAGAATCTTCTTGAACTGACAATGGTGCACCCTTAAAGATAAAATAATTATTCTGTATAGAAGAAACATTTCATATAAAACCATACAGCAAATATACTTTAAATATTAAACAAAGAGAGGAAGGAAACTTCTTTAATTTTTAACTAATTTAATGTTTTATCAGAAATTTTTAAAAAAAAGGGGCAAAAACATTAATTTGACATATTTTTTAACTGATTTTATCACATGGCAAGTAAACTAGATAAATGACCAATCTGTGCATTAAATTTTATTAGCCTTGATAAAAGTTATAAAATGATTCAGAAAGCTTTCAGTAAAAAAATGCTTTTCACCATAGAGCAATCTATCAGTAGATTTAAACTTGCAAATACAGCTGAATGTCAACTGTAGATGATCTTACTGAAGACCAACCACCTACACAATTCCAAAGAATGTTGCAAAAGTGCATTAGATCAATTAATATGAAAAACTGTAGGTAGGAAATTCATGTCTCTGCAAAGTTGCTGGATTGTCTTAAGATATGTCAATGAATTTTATCAGATGAATTAAACATGAGAAGGACTATTGGAAGTTTGTTCCATGAGTATGTTTACCAAGTACAGTCAAAAGTCTTTAATCCGGACTCGTCGGGACTTCAGCGATTCCGGATTATAGATCATCAGTTTAAATCTTGTAAGATGGCATGCAGAAATTATAAAATTAAAAATATGAAACCGTAATTTATGAAGTAACGAACAATTATGATCTAAAGAGTATCAAAATTTATAAAAAAAAAGCTTAATATTTATTTCTTTACTTTATTAAACATTTCTTTCAAAGCGCGCATGCGTAAAGCATACATTACGCATAGTCAAAATTAGAAAATTGCAACCAGAAAACTATTTGATGTGTATTTATAATGAATTTTGTGATATTTATAATTGTATTGTGATATTTATAATGAATTTGATTTAAATCATATCAAAGACAGAGTACATCAAAATGAAATACTACATTTAGTAATGAATTATAAGCGGAATAAAATAAAAACATCTGCTCTGAAGATGAGGATAGTGCTGACAGATCAACTTCCAGTTCATTGCGCACCGCAACGTCCCCCCCTCCCGCAAGCATGAAATTGATAAACAGATTTTGGAATGGTTAGAGAAACAAATCACCTGTCACTTTCTTCATGCCTTTATCCATTTTTTTCAGCATTTCCACTTTTTGTTTAATGGAGATCGAAACATGCTTTCGCTTTATAGATCCTTCGGCAGCTCCAGAATCGGAAATTCTATTTGACATAATCGAAAGTTCAAGCTTACTTTTATAAAATTGCTCTAACAGACTGCAAAAAATAATAAGCCGGATCCAATTCGAAGATTAAGGAACAACGCAATCTGCAACATTAACTGAAATAGATAATTTTAGCTTAGCTTATACCGCCCGTTTACATTAAACGCGCATGCGTAAACGCATATGCGCATGCGTAAAGGTATTACGCGCACGCGTCAACGCATTATGCATTGAAAGAAGAAGAACGCAACTCATCATGCGCAGAAAGTTTGTAGCTTTGAGGTCCGGATTATAGATCATTCTGGGTTATTGGCGTCTGGATTAATGACTTTTGACTGTAGTATCATTTAGCTCCCAATAATATGACAATTGTCCTTCACTCTCTTTCTACATCAAATGTAACCCCTTGAGATTTGTTTATTTCCTTTGAAATGAAAATAAAGCTAAAAGGGAAAAAATTCCGTTCCTTAAAATAGGGAAAAAAAACATCCCCACACACACACACTTGCAGGCTGTACCAAATGCTGTAAAAAAAAAAAAAAAAAAAAAAAGACTTCATATTTATCAGAACAATGCTGGGACTGACATTTACTCAACGCTGATGAATAAGAATGATTGTAATGTAAGTTCATAAATACATTTAAAGAAATTTTGAGAACATCTTTCATATTTCAATGCAACACTTGAATGCACACACAATACACACATGTAATATATATGTAATACAGAAATGATTTTTTTTAATTAGACTAAGCAGAAAAACTTTTACCATATATTGAATTCTTTACAACTGCAAACATATCAATCTTACATAAACAGACCCACCCACAATGTTGAAGGAAGATGGAGGTACAAAATAATGTTAAGAAAGCAACACACATGTAATATATATGTAATACAGAAATGATTTTTTTTAATTAGACTAAGCAGAAAAACTTTTACCATATATTGAATTCTTTTCAACTGCAAACATATCAATCTTACATAAACAAACCCACCCACAATGTTGAAGGAAGATGGAGGTACAAAATAATGTTAAGAAAGCAAGACAATTCTTAACACAGGCCTGCCACTTACCAGAGAGCAGCAAATTTTCTTGCTGGTGACTTACTTTTTAATAACAAAACCCTGGAAAAATTATTTTGTTTCAAGACAATACACTTTTGCAATCAATTTTCTAATGAGTTGGTGACTAAGACTAGTATCTGACTTCCATGAAAAAGGAAGTATCTATTGCAAAACAACGTGCAAAAGATTTCTAGCAATAATCTTGTAAGTTGTTAATAATGTTAAAAAATGTTTTAGAAATCTTTGAATAAATCAATACAATGGCTACTGTAATGCACTGAATTTTCATATTATTCCACTACTAGGCTGTTACAAAAAAAAAAAAAAAAAAAAGATGTATACTCTTACAAAGCCTAAGCAATTCATAAATTTCTATCACCACACTAAGAAATGGCTAAAATACTAAATTCAGTTTAACAGTTAAATATACAAAAAATTTCCAAGTTGGACTTCACTTTATTTGTGGTAGCAGTGCCTGGTCTTATTCGAGTAGGATCCACAAAACACATGCAGGGCAGTGAAAAACCATAAATTGCCAAGTTTCATTTGATTCTCTGAAAGCTGTCATGTTATATGAAATATCAAGGAGGTAAACTACAGGCCCTCTTCCCAGAGCGTAACTAAGGCAGGGGCATACAGGGCAGTTGTTCTGGGCCTCCAAATCAGAGAGGGGGAGCACCAAATCAAATAGAAAGTTTATTTTATGATTCCTTCTTTAACCTTTTGAGGCCGGGGTTTTGGAAGCAGTAAAAGCTACCAAAGGACGGGGAATCTTGAACCGAATGCTTTCCCCCCTTTTAAGAAATCACCTCCTATTTGCAACAAAGATTCTTGTGTGTAGTTTAATGAATTCTTAGAGGGGTGCATCTATGTCGCAAAAGAAAGACCTTTGAAAGAGATAAGGGGTTAAAATCCTAGGGACGTCAAATTTGACATTTCACCACACTTTTCAGCCTGGAAAATAGGGGAAAAAGACATGGCCACTAAAGTGGACAACCCCGTCTTTTCACAGAGAGGACTCTATGGCCACTATAATGGCCATCCCGTCTTCAAAAGGTTAATGAATGTGTTTTAAACAAAATACCAGTGCAGTGTAATTTTATCAGTTAGCTGTATGGTTTTTCACTAGAGAAGTTCTATTTTTCTTTTTCGCTTTCGTTGACAGAAGTTTTGCTACACCTGAGTTTAATAGTTTTGACTTGTAGATGTTTATAATTTTATTTTATAGTTTATAATTTCAAATTGTAAATATAGTACAGTACAAAGTCTTTAATCCAGACTCATCGGGACTTCGGCGATTCCGGATTAGGGTTTTTTTCCGGATTACAGATCATCAATTTAAATCTGGTAAGATGGCATGCAGAAATTATACAATTAAAAATATGAAACGTAATTTATGAAATAAAGAGCAATTATGATCTAAAGGGTATCAAAATTTACAAAAAAAATCCGTAATATTTATTTGTTTACTTTATTAAACATTTCTTTCAATGTAACTTTCTTCACTATCGGAAGCGCGCATGGGTAAATGCTTTACTGGCTTCATGTGCATGCGTAACAGACGCGTGCATCAAATGCGCATGCGTAAGTTTGTGGCAGTGAGGTCCGGATTATAGATCATTCTGGATAATGGACGTCCGGATTACGGACTTTGTACTGCATTAGTTCATTTGGGGGGAGATTTTTAATTATTTTCCAAATGGATGAGAGGGCTGGCCATTTTTGAAGCACTGAAAGTGCTACACGAATTGCTTTCAGATAGTGAATCTGATACGGATCCCGGTACATGTGGGAAACATGCAATATTGGGTTGTGCTTTTTCAAAAGTGGTGTCACTTTCTTTGAAAAGTACCACCATGAAAAAATAGACAAGAGTGCAAGTGTAAATATGTAATGAAAATATCATGCACCCAAGTTACTTTTTTTTCATGTAATCATCATATAACCAAGAATAGCTTTTTTAGGGGGTGTAGAGTAGTAGGACTCGGTATGGTACACCCTGGGTAATGCTAAATCTGCTATTGTATTCAGAATTTAGTGTTTCTTAATCGTAGGCAAAATCTCTTACTCTTTTACATGCTTCCCAGCAATGCTCCTTTTAGCACTCTTTTTGAAGCTCTTCAGACACACCCACAGAATTAAAACAATAAGTGCTATCTTCACAATATTTTACCTGTAAACTCCTCTAGGCCTAATTAGACTGCCTACCGTTTTTTTCTTTTTCGGTCGAAATTCCAACTTTAAAAGGTAGCGTGCCAGAAAAGGTTAATGAATTCTTGAATGCAGCAAAGGCTGCCACAAACAGTCCTTATTGTTCTGCTGTTATCACTGGCACTCAGTCCCACTCCTGACACCAACAAATGTTGTGTGCCTATGGATTCGTAATAGACTGAGTGCACAAAGCTCCAATGATAGGTTGATACGATTTATTTTATCAAATAAAACACTTCAGAGATCTGGAATATTCTACAAAGACAATTGTACAACTCTTCACAATATCACAGAGTACAATCAGCACTTACACTTCAAACTGCTATGAATGTTAAATACAATACAATGCAATGCAGAGCTAAAGAGAAAGCAACCCAGAGATATCTCAGTACTCAACTCACACTGAGCTGATAGATAACAACAATTGAAAGCAGATGCTCTCTCTGGCCTTATATAGTTTTTACCCAACCGAGATAT